TCTATCATTTAACGTCTTAGTTACCTGCATAATACAACTTAAGGATTATTGATCATGGTGTTGAGACTTTCCTGTCGCTGTGCGGCAACGTATTGGTAAATACATGTTTTTTTTTAAAAAAACTGACGTAAATTATTAACCATTAATTGCATAGATGTCTAGATTTTTTTTTTGTAAAAAGTAATTTCGACAAACATTTCGATATTGCTAGCTTTTAATATGAATTTCGCAAAGTAACTATATTATTCAATGTATTTTGGCATAAAGAATTCAAATAACTTTACTAAAAATTTCGACAACTATGAAAATTAATTTCGCCATTAAGGAAAATCAATTTCGACAAACTAAATGCCAAAATGATTTTTTATTAAGAGAAATAATTTAGATGCCCATGTATATGCGTTAAATTGTTACTTCGCATCGTTTAGTACATTTATGGCCAGTATCAACTTTTGAATAAATAAACGATTTAAGCTATGTATTTTTCGCTATACAGTTGATAATATTAGCGAGTTTTGATATGTATATACTATATGCAATTTATAGCATATATAATATTAAAATTGGGTTTTTAAGCAATATTATTTATTTTAAAGAATTTTATCACAAGTTGATAATTAACCATCTCGATTAGTAAAAAGATTTGTTATATAATAATTTATATTAGAATTGTAAAAACAAGTACACAAGTGTAAATAAGAACTAAATAAATAGATAAAGGCGTCCTACATTGATTCGTGGGTCAAAAAAAAAAAAAACAAGCACGCTATAGCATAATCTCGGTATAACGAACCTTTAGATCGATGTCGATATACCAATATTCTTGTTAATTAAAAGCAAATTGAGTGGCAGATGTTTCATGAAAATTTAAAACATATGTACGTACGTACGTACATATTAAATAGGCGCATGGTAAATTATGCATTTGATTGGCAGTTTAACACGTGACCCGTATTCATGGATCGTTGCAATAAGGGTCGGAGGGCCGGAGATGATCAGTTGCATCACGTGACCCGTAATTTTCGTGGTCGCCCTGGTGGACTCTGAAGTAGAGTTGGGGGCACGGGGTTAAAGGGCATGCCCTAGGGGGCATGCCCCTATCATGTGATTATTTGAGCTGATCATGTGACTGAATTCTAACATATGATTGGCTAATATATATAATATAATCGATGCTTTTATTAACTAATCTGCAAGAATCCTGATTGGCTAAAATTAAAGATTAACACATTATTTCTAATGTTCGTAACTCTAATGCCAATACTTTTATGGCATTTCATAAAGAAAATAACTACTGACACCACTAGTACTAGCCTTAATAACACCACATAGCCAGTATTATTTTAAGGTTGATGTTAGAATATGGCAAAATTAGGGAATTAGGTATGTGTTGCAGTGTCAGTAGCAATTCTCTTCATATTTTTTAATCGTCTTACTTACATGAAGTTTGAAATGCTTATTCAGAAAGCAATTTGATTTTTATTAGTTATTTTGCTTTAAAGTTAAAAAAAAACTTATAATTATATTATTGTATTATGTATTGATATAGTCAAAATCGCTTCTAAGAAAAGTTTGGTGGAGTTCACTTGATCTCAAATGTTTATATAAAGTTAAGCATCCACAAAATTTTGGGCGGCTTTGATCATAAAAATTTTAATATGTTTTATTTAGATTAAAATTTTCTATTGTACAATATAAAAACTCTGCAATTGTACTTTGTTAATACAAAATAAATAGCCAAGCAAAACGAATTTCTATCATTCTTCGATGTAATTGTATAATTGACCTAACACTAAATTTGTTAATTGGTGAAACTCGAAAGTAATATGAAACGCAATCCTATTCTGAAAATTAAAAAATTTTTGATTAATTACAAATCTATCGTCAAATAAATAAATTTGAACTGATCTTAGTCAAATTATTATTGCGCTGATTTATTGTTATTCAGTTCAAACATTCATCAAGTTGCTATCAATATTGCTTTTCCAAGCTATTATAAAATTCTACAATATAACATTGGCTATAGATAGTTTTAGACATATAATTCGATTTACATAAAACCAATTCATCATGATTATATTTGCAGAAAACATCAGCTATATTTTTTACAAACAACCCAAGATTGTTAAGTTATCCGGGAAATTAATTTACATCACCGCGTATGTGCATGCATTAACAATTTAACTAATCGGAACATTATGTAATATAATCAAATCGAATAATTTTTATACCATTCGGTTCCTCTCTATAGGAGGAATCGAATAATAAAAAAATCATTCGATTTGATCACAAAATCGAAAGGTATCAGTGAAATCATATATCTAAATTATTTTACAAAATATCTCGCCATCAAATAATCATATAATTATTAATAATTAATTTTTCTAAAAGAAATAAATAATATAAATTAATACAAATAAAATTAATATATAAAGAATAAAAATTTATCTTGCGACTTATCTGAAATCATCTTTTCAAAAAATAATATTGCTACTTATTTGAAATAAAACCTTCAATATGACTGAAGCATCTAATTCTAACACTAGTCAAATTCCCACTGGTTTTGCTCTACCACTTCCAACGCAAGGTAAACGTTAGACAGGCTTTTACCGTTCTCAAGCTAAACGAGCAGGCAATAGATATGCTGCGAAATGCAAATATTGTTTAGTTGAACTAATTGGCAAGCCAGAAAAACTCCATCAACATGTTCTTCGCTGTAGAGATTGGCCTGCTTCTGAAAAAACCAATTACCTTCAAAAAGTTACCAGTAAAGAACTTATATCCCGCAAGCGATCCAATGATCATCTTGACAATGAGGAAGATGATTCTTCAACCGAACAATCTGTTCGTGATGATGATATGCAGCAACCCTGCCAAAATACGATTTTAAGTTGGTGCACTCGGCCTTTACCACAAGCAGAGTCTGAAAAGCTTCATCAAAAACTTCTAAAAGAATATCTTTATCTTAAAGCTTATTAATTATTTTGATATTCTTTCTGCATTCTTCATGATTAAATTAATAAATATATAAAATATCATA